GGTACTTGTGCGGGGTCAAATCACAACGTTGGCTCAGTAGGCATTTGATCGACCAGTATCTAGGGTGGCCGTGCTGGCAGATATGGTTCGCCTCGCCCCCCCCCCCCCCTCAGTGTTTGGTGCCCACTGGTCCTTCTTCAAATGGGGGCCTGCGTGCTCTGCGGTATACTTTAAAACGGTGATGCCCGCGGTATGCTTTCCCTTTCTCACGTTCCAGATCCTCTTCCCTCAGCACCGCAGCCTCGCTCCGATCTAGCAGTCTGGTATTGTCATCCAGCCAATACACGCAAGTGCTACCAACCTTCCTCACAGGCTTTCTCAAGACGGAACTATTCCCGCATGTAGCGCCACACGCTGCACACTGCATGCACCATGCCGCCCATTGTGCCACGTCGATCGGGCCGTGCTCAAGTTGGTGGCGCCTCCATGCTGCAAAACTCGCAATCCGCGCCCCTCATTCGTAGCATCTATAGCGGACTTGCATCACACTGCATGCATGCACCATGCCGCCCTTTGTGTCACGTAGATCGGGTCGTGCTCAAGTTGGTGGCGCCTCCATGCTGCACAACTCGCAGGCGGTGCCCCTCATTCGTAGCATATGTAGAGGACTTGCATCGGTAGGTTCTCCTCGACGTGCGTTCCCGTGCCGCTCACCGTTCGCCACCAGAAGATCTGATGAGATCGATCAAATTGACGCGGTACCCAATTCTTCCAGAAACGATGCGTCAACAATGTGAAATCGTGAGGCGAGCCTGCAGCAAAGCGATACCAATTCTTCATTGCCCTGCTTGCATGCCATTCGTGGGAAGCGTTTCCAACGACCTTTTGCAAGTCCGCGCAAAGAAGCCCAACCCAGGAACCACTCTGATCGGGCAACATGTCTACAGGGAATACCAACTGTTCGGGCGAGTTAACGAACGGAGATCTCTAATGCACGGAGCTGCGCAAGCGTAGCTTCCGACCACGCCTCCGTCAACCAGAAGAGATGGACACTGCTGACCATATCGGAAATGATGATCTTCGAGCGCGAGCTAAGCCTGTGCAACTTTGTTACCATTCTCTTGATCGGATCGCAAGCCGTACGCTGTCTTGCAACTGCCATGGCTATCCGCGGTCCTCTGGCAGAATCCTCATTCACGAGCTGTCCGAGGTGTTTGCAGCACCGCACCACATTCACCTGAAATCGCCACTCGGCCATTGATAGCATCATGTTATAGCCTGCAGGTGCAGTCGCAAATCGGATGCCCCCACCTCTGCCGGTATGATCATTACGCTGCTCTGATGCCTCTGATAGTTGACCGTGAAGCCGTGGGTGACAATGCTCTCGTGCACGATGCCCACTGCGTCGCCTGCGCGCTCTATAGCCGTTGCCGTAGATGGTGGGGTGAACAGGGACAGCCCGTCGTCTACAAAGGAGATGTCCGCAAAGTTGACATATGGCAAGACATGCGCAAAAGCAGAGTCCGATTCGCTGGACAACTTCAGTGTAATTCCCATTCTGATAATCGCTCCCTCAATGGCAGAGAGCGGTTTGGCGAAGGAAATGTTCAAACATGCATCCGCAAATGCTTTTCCAGGCTGTGGCCCGCGCCGCGAACGCGCCAATAAGCTGCACCGTTTGTCTTCTGCGCAGACGTGGGTGTCCCGATGCGCTTCGACCAGCGTCGCCAACAGGTGCGGGGAGCCTGCCAGCTGTGCCTAAGCCCGAGGGTGTTGAAGTATCATCGTGAACAGCAGAAGTAAACTCAGCAAACAGATCGTGATCATGACATAATGGAACCCCTATCGTCGTCATGGGTGGTCGGTAGCACCAACGATTTGATAGTGGAATAAAACGCAGCTGGTAAGTTGATGAGGAAAAGAATAGCCGTGCGTCCGTCCTTCCTGAATACATGGATGAAGCTCGAACATATGTGCAAGAGTCGGGTTAGCCCTCGTCGTTGCCGTCCGCCGCTCTGTGTGTGTCTCAGCAAGACCTCTAGGTACTGGGCCAACCGGTCTCTGAGAAACCAGTGCCAGCACTTGCTGATACTTCCATTCAGTAGCACTGCTCCTTCTCCTCCAACTCTGCCGCCTCCTCCTCCAAATCGCTGCACCTCTTCGCAGCAACGGCCTGGCTCCAGCCCGCCCGCGGGTGATTGCAGCGGGTTCGAGGGCCCAGTAAGCCGAACGCGGTTCTCCATGGGTGCTTGTGGCAACGCGCGCGAAGAGATGTGACTCTTCCTCACCTTGCTCCCTGGGTCCTCCCCCCTCCCCCCTATCACCTTTCCCTCCTCCCTCCTTCAGCCTCCTCCTCCTCCTCCGCAGCAGCAGCCCTCCTCTTCCCCAATCCTCCTCCTCCTCCTAAGCTCTCCTCCTCCTCCTCATCCTCCTCCTCCTCCTCCAAACTGTTCCTGCTCCCTCCTCCTCCTGCTCCCTCCTCCTCCTCCTCCTCCTCCTCCTCCTCCACCTCCTGCCTCCTCCTCCTCCTCATCATCATTTTCCTCCTCCTCATTTTCCTCCTCCTCATTTTCCTCCTCCTCCTCCTCCTCCTCCTCCTCCTCCCTGTCCTCCTCCCTGTCGCCGCCCGCAACGAAGGGGGAGGCCGAGGCCCGCCTATGGTCCGTGTTGGCATGCTCCTGGCGGGCGCTGGCGGGCTTCGGCCGCTGGCGGCGCCGGGCAGCGGCGGAAGTCGAGCGCGGCGGCCGGCGGCGAGCGGCGATCGGCGGCGAAAGGAGAAGGAGGGCGAGGACGGAGCAGGATGTCGAGGAGGGAGAGGAAAGAGAGGAGAATGAACAGGCGGAGGGGCAAGAAGAGGACCATAATAAACCCAGAATGCATCCACCGATGCCGCAGTACACCCTCTCATCCTCCCGTCCCAAGTCCCCTCCTCATAAGTCCGTACAAGTGTTCCGTTCTACTGCGGGCGTCCCTCCCCCCTCGAATGACGAGCGGCCAGTCGGTCTGCCAGTCAGGCGACGGCGCCTGTTGTGAACGATCCTCCCCTCTCCTGAAGGACGCCCAAGATAGCCCCAGTGTGGCCAGACCTACACACACGTACACACACACACGACCCGTCCAAGCGTTACAAAATGTCGAAGTCTTACAGGCATGTTCCGCGGAAGTCCCACGCGAGCGCCCTTCAAGGAGCAATTGCAACTTCATTTTGAAAAGAACATGCCCTCCATCCGTCTAAGCGCTGCAGGATGTCAAAATCGTACACGCATGCCCCGCGGAAATCCCACGCGAGCGCCCTTCAAGGAGGGCCAATGGTAACCTCATTTTGACAAGGACATGCCCTCCATCCGGTTAAGCCTTGCACGATGTCAGAGTCGTGGACGGATGCTTCGCGGGAATTTCACGCGAGAGCCCCGTTTCGAAAGAAGAGACGCCTTCCATCCGTGTTAGGTGTGGGGAACAAAAAACGGAACGCCCTTTCGTAGAAGCCGACGAAGGGTCAATTGAATGCACAAAATGGGCCTTGTATATGAAAGTGCGCGAGGCCAAAAAGAGACCTTAAGACGGCGGGGGCGTTGGTTAAAGAATGTGGAATGTGCTGGAATGTGCCCAAGAGGCTGCAAATCCTGGATGGGATCCTCGATCCACGATTGGGGTCCCACTGGCTTCCCAGACCCTGGATTCCTTATCGAGGGGTTCCTGGCCGAATGCAGCCACCGTCTTGGAACGGACCCGCCGTCTAATCGCACAGCTAAGGATATGCACGGTGCCAGGGCGAGGCCCCTTTTGAAAACCACGCGCCCTCAATCAATTCTTTGGTTGAATAAAACGATGGCGCGCGGCGCCAGCAATGCGAGAGCTCCAACGTGAAAGCTGTTTGTATCTCGCGCCGAAGCGATCTGAATCAATATGCTCCTTGAGGCCTCCTGCGGCGACAAAGAAGATGAAGATGAGGAAATGGATGGTGTTGCTGCTGGTGGCGACGGCGGGTACGGGAGCGCTTGGGGAGGGAGAGTAGCGCCTGGTAGCGCCTGGGAGCGTCTTGGAGCGCTGGGGCAGCCCGGGGGGCGCTTGTGTCCAACGTGCGGTTTGGCGAGGGGTGCCCGAAACGCACGCATGTACTAGGTACTTGCTATCGATGTATGGTTTTGTCATAGTGTGTGTGCCCAGGGGCTCTTCGGGGCCAGGGGGTGTGTCGGTGTTGAAACGCAACAGATGCGCACCGAATGCGATTCTTTACATGGGGTGGTGAAGGTTGGGTCGGATGGATGTGCACCGAACTTCATATGTTGCAAAGGATGGTGAAGGGTGGGTCGAATTGGTGCGCACCGACTAAACTGTTCTACATCGGACGATGAAGGTTGGGTCGTATCGGTGTACGCACGATCGAACGTTGTGAATTCGATGCAAAAGGTTGGGTCGGATGGATGTGCACAGGGATAGCATCGAATCATAAGGGTTGGGCCATATGGGTGTGCGACGAACAAAACTTGTTCACAGAGGATGGTGGGGTTAAGTCGTATGGATGAGAGCAGGATTTAATATGTTACCTAGAATCCCACCAGCCCTCTGGGCGTAGGTGGTCTAGAGCAGATCCTCTTCCACCCCTCCCTCTTCCCCCTTGGGGAGGGGTTTACCCCTCCCCCTACCCCCTCCCCTGGACCTGGACGGGGGGGGCCGCGGGTAGTTAGAGCGTCCAAGATGGCCCAAGACGGCTCCAAGAGCGCCTCAGAGAACCCAAGATGAGCTCCAAGATGGCTCAAGATAGCGCAAGATCGCTCACGATGGCTCCTAAGATGGTTCCAAGAAGCCCAAAGACGGCCCCAAGATAACTCCAAGTGGCCAAACAGCTCCCCAAGGAGGCCCCGAAGAGGCCAAAATCGTCCCAAAACCTAAGGAAAATCAATGATTTTTGCTTTCTCGCCTTTTCGCTTCCGATGGCCATCCGAGGCCTGGAGATGGCTCCAAGATGGCCCAAGAGGGCCCCAAGAGAGCCCCAAAAGAGCCCCAAGACGGCCCCAAGAGCGCCCAAGAGCACTCCAAGAGCGTTCCAAGAGGGGTCCAAGAGGCGATTTTAGGGGCTTCCGAGGGGGGGCGCTAATTAAACCCCCCCTCTTGTTTGATCGACTCCCTCCAAGATGGCCCCAAAAGCGCCCCGAAGGCTCCCCAGAGCGCCTCAAGAGGGTCCCAAGAGGCGCCCAAGATGCCCCAAGGCGCCCAAAAAGCCCTCCAAGAGGCCCTCAAAAGACCCCCAAGAAGCTCCTTCCCCTCCTCCTCCTCCTCCTCCGATTCTTCCTCCTTCTCCGTCCTCCTCCTCCTCCTCCTCCTCCTCTTCCCCCTCCTCCTCCTCCTCCTCCTCCGACGACGACGACGACGACGACGACTCCTCTTCCATCCTCCCCCTCTCGGGGTCTGTGACAGCTTCCCCCGCCCTTTGTTATTCTGCATGCTCCCCGACTTCCCTGATCACCTCAACTCCCCTGAGCATCGTTTCTGGATGGGCTGGTGGGGATACGCGAAGCGTCAACAATTTCTGATGGTTGGGTCGTATGGATGCGCGCAGCGCTAAGGCGATAACCACACTTTGAAAAGGAACTGGTATCCATCCTTGAAATTGTTGCAAGCGCTTGAAACTAATGTGCGCGGCGGTGAGACTAGAGCCACATTTTGAATGAGAAGGAGCCGACCTCCATCATTGAAGCTGTGGCAACTTGCAATAAAACATTGTGCGCGGCGCTGAGGCTTCCTTCATGAAGCTGACGCAAGCTCTTACAAATAATGCTCGCGGCGCTAGGGCGAGAGCCGCATTTTGGAGAAAAACACCCAGGCTTCAGTCTGGAAGCTGACGCAAGCTTCTACAAAGAATTGCTCGCGGCGCTAGGGCGAGAACCACAGTTTGAAAACAAATACCCAGGCTTCATTCGTGAAGCTGGCGCAAGCTCTTACAAAGAATGGCTCCCAGCGTCAGGGCGAGAGCCACACATTTTGAAAAAAACACCCAGGCTCCGTCCTCGAAACTGCTGCAAACCTCAAGCCTCAGGATCCGAACCGGCAAGAAAGCCTCGGACGAAACGCACGGCCCGGCCGACGGACACGTCTGGAGGTGCGACAGGGGGGCGTTCTCGATAGGGAGAAGGAACAGAGGAGGAGAGCACGGAGAAGAAGGGGGGAGGGGAGGAAATGGAGCAGGAGGAGGAGGAGCAGGATGGTACGAGGGGTGGGGAGGAGGAGGGGGAGGGGGGAGGGGAGGGGGAGGGGAGGAGGAGGAGGAGAGGAGGAGGAGGAGGAGGAGGAGGAGGAGGAGGAGGAAAAGAAGGAGAAGGAGGAGGAGGAGGAGGTGAAGGGGGGAGGAGGAGGAGGAGGAGGAGGAGGGGAGGAGGAGGAGGAGGACGAGGAGGATGAGGCAGTGCGGAGGAGGAGGAAAGGATGAGAAGAATAAGGCAGGGCGAAGAAGGAGGTGGAGGAGGAGGAGGAAGAGGAGGCACGGCGGAGAAGGAGAAGGAGGAGCAGGAGCAGGAACAGGAGGAGGACGAGGAGGAGGAGCAGCAGGAGCAGGAGGAGGAGGAGGAGGAGGCGGAGGAGGAGGAGGAGGAGGAGGAGACGAGCGAGGAGAGGGAGGAGGAGGAGGAGGAGGAGGAGGAGGAGGAGGAGGAGTGGGAGGAAGAGCGCGGGTGTCAGCGCGTGGCGGCAGCGGGCGGCGGCGGCTGGCGGTGGCAACGTGCGTGCCTGGCGCCCCGCCTGCTCGTTTTCCCCTCTTTCCCGTCCTCCTTCTGGGAGGGAGGGAGTGCAAAAGCCGCGTGGAGTGACCTCTGGCGGGATAAGCCTCCCGCGCAGGTCCTGCTCCAGCGCCCGCTGTCCTCCCGTGCCACGCCGGAACTCACCACGCGGCCCTAACAGGAGGGAGGAGGCAAGACGAACAGGAGGGATGGCGAGGAGGACGAGGAAGACGATAGGAATAACCACACAGAAACAACACATAGGAAAAGGATGAGGAGGAGGAAGGCGAGGAGGAGGAGGAGGAGGAGGAGGAGGAGGAGGAGGAGGGGGAGGAGGAGGAGGAGGAGGAGGAGGAGGAGGAGGAGGAGGAGGAGGAGGAGGAGAAGAAGAAAGGGAAGGCTTGGAACGGCTGGTCGACAGACAGAGCCGTCCCCCAGCGCCGGGCGCCAGGAGCAACAGGTCCTGGACCCCTGGGCCTCGATCCAGAACGAGTTCTTCATCCTGAGCCGGTTTCTGACTCCCGCCGGGGCCCGTGGAGGGCCAGGGAAGCCCGAAAGCGGCGAAAAACCTCAGGGCCCGCTTCCCCCACGGCGACCATGCACTGCGCCAGGCCCGGGGGCGGCAGCGGCGGCGGCGGCGGCGGCGGCAGCAGCGGCAGCGGCGGCCGGGAGGGGGCGGCAGCGCAACGCCAGGGGGGCAGCGGCAGCAGTGCGCAACGCCCCCAGTGGCGGCAGCGGCAGCGGCGGCCGGGGGCGCTGCTCTCCGCCGGAGGTCCGCGGCCGGCGACCCCCAGCTGCGCGGGAACGGCGCGGGCGACTGGGGGAGGCGGCCCCGCTGGAGCAGCGCCTGCGGGAGGGGAGGCGTCCCTGCTCCCGCCTCCACACGTGAACCTGGCGCGACCCCAATCAGGGGAACTCTTCCTAAGCGGTGTTGCTTAGAATTGCTTGGCATTGCATTGCTCTGCTTTGCATTGTATTGCATCGCTTGGCATTGCTTTGCGTTGCTTGGTGTTGCTTGGCGTTGCTTGGCGTTGCCTGGCATTCCTTGCCATTGCTTGAAATTGCTTTGCATTGTTTGGCGTTGCTTGGCATTGCTTTGCATGACTTGGCATTGTTGGGCGCTGCTTGGCGTTGCGTGGCATTACTTGGCGTTGCATTGCATGTCTTGGCGTTGCTTGGCGTTGCTTTGCACGGCTTGGCATTGCTTGGCCGCGCTTGGCGATGCTTGACATTGCTTGGCGGTACTTGGCATTGCTTGGCATTGTTTGGCGCTGCTTGGCGTTTCTTGGTATTGCTTGGCGGTGCTTTGCGCTCGAGGAACCCGAGAAACCCGAGAAACCCGAGGAACCCGAGGAACCCAGGGAACCCGAGGAACCCGGGGAACCTCCGATGAACGGGCAAAGTAGCCACCCGAGGCACCAACCTTTGACTAAGGAAGAACCTCTCAGGCAAGCCTAATCGGGGAAAAACGCTTGTGGAGGATCGAGGATCGAGGAGGATCGAGGATCGAGGAGGATCGAGGATCGAGGCTCGGCAAGGGGGATCGAGGATCCAGGCGGATCGCCCTCCCACCACTCCGCACGCACCCCGCACCTCCCCAGAACCCCCGACCCCTGAGATCCGAGGCCGCGAGAAATCGCCTTCGCAAACGGCGAACGTGTCCATATCCACGCCCTCGTGGCCTGGGCTCCTGGGCGCGAGCCCGCGGATACGAGGAGGAGGAGGAGGAGGAGGAGGAGGAGGGCACGGGTGCGCTCCGCGTGGGGCGTCCACGAGAAAACGCCCCGTACCCGCGGGGTCGCGGCCCAGGGGCCCGGCCCGCGAGGCCGCGGACTCGGGCCTGTCTTCCGCCCATTAAGGCAGCAGGCGTCTCACTCGTCGGGCCCCCTGTGGCAGGACCACGAGGAACCCGGCGCCGGACCCGTCGCGCCCAATTCGGCAGGACCGCGAGGCATCCGGCGCCCGACTCGTCGCGCCCAATGCGGGAAGGACCACGAGGCACCAGGCGCTTGCCTCGTCGCGCCCCGGTGTGGCAGCACGGGCTCGCCCAGCACTCGCCCGGTGCGGCAGGTGGCCGCCCGTGGAGCCTCGCCTGCGCCCCCGGCGCGCTGCGCGGGCGTGCCGCGCGCCTCGTAGGCGCCACGTGCGGCGGGTGCACCGCACATCTCGCACCGCACATCTCGCACCACGCAGGTTGCATCCCTCCTCCTCCTCCTCCTCCTCCTCCACCTCCTCGTCCTCCTCGTCCTCCTCCTCCTCCTCCTCCTCCTCCTCCTCCTCCTCCTCCCCCTCCCCCTCCTCCTCCCCCTCCTCCGCCTCCCTATCCTCCCTCCATCCCGTGTCCTTACGGCCAGCGCCGCACACATGGCACCACGCACGGAACCCATCACAGGGCCTGCAACGCACGGCCTGCGCCGCACAGTGTGCAACACGCAGCTCGCATCACATGGCTTTCACGACATGGCTCTTACCAGAGCTTGCCCCACACTGCTGGCAACACACACACACACAACTTTCACCACACAGCTTGCAACGCACACGCGACGTGGCTTGCAACGCGCTCGTTGCACATCGAGGGCGCAAGCGCCTACGATCTGGGACCCACGCCGGCCACCGCTTGTCTCGGTCTGTCTAGCGTAACCTTTCTGTTTGCCCTCGACCTTCCGCGGAGGAGCAGGCGAGGCGGGGCGAGGGAGCAAGGGAGGACGGGGAAGAGCAGGATGGGGGGGGGAAGGAGGGGGGGGGGGGGGGCAGATCGGGAGAGAGGGTGAGGAATGGGGGGGGGGATCAGGAAGGAAGGAGGTAGGAGTATCCAAGTATCCAAGGTGGGGGGAGGAGGAAAGGAGAAGAACGGGGGGTGTAAGAGGAGGAGGAGGAGGAGGAGGAGGAGGAGGAGGAGGAGGAGGAGGAGGAGGAGGAGGAGGCGGAGGGGGAGGAGGAGGAGCCAACGGCCAGGATAACGGTCGTCCCAGCGCGCTCAGCCGCGCGGGGCGCTCGGTAGATGGCGGCATCGGCCCCGCATGAAAAGTTCGGGCACCGTGTGAAGCTCCAGGGGAACTTTCACTGAGGTGGCAGACACATTCTATACACATCGCAGTGGACGGCATTGTGCCCTCTTGACGCGATGGGGGGGGACTGGGAGGTGAAGAGGAGGCGGGAGGAAGAGAAGGGGCCAGGAGGACGGGGCAGAGCGAGTGCAGAAGGAGCAGCCCGAGCAGGTGTCTGAGCGAGGAGCAGGATCACCTGGGGGAGGACGACGACGACGACGACTCGACGTCGACGTCGGCGACGGCGGAGGCGGCAGCGGCGACCACGGCGACGACAAGGACGGCGGCGGCGGCGACAACAGCGACGGCGACGACCACGACGAGAACGGCGACGGAGAAGGCGACGAGGACGGCGACGGAGAAGGCGACAAGGAAGACGACAACGACGACGACCACCACCGACCACCACCACAACCCCCCTGGGCTTTCGGGTCATGACTAGGCTCTCTGGCGGCCGTTCGGGACGATCTGGGCAAACCACGGAAAGCCCTCGGCGAGGCGGAGCCGCTGGAACGTATCCCGAGGCTGGAAAGCCGCCGAGAGCCGGCGACGACGGCTCTCGGCGACGAGATGACGGCGACGATTGCGACAACTTGACGACGACGACGACGGAAAGAACACCTCAAAACTTGATGACGGCGACGACTGCGACGGCGACGATGGCATTGACGTCGACGACCCCCTCAAACTTCCGATCCGCTGTATTTTGGGCGACTCCGCAAGTAGGGTGGGAATCCCCGCCCTACTGTTCAAGCACCTTTCATGCCGAATTCCTCCCTGCTGTGCCGTCGCTGGTTCCGCTGCACCTCTGCGGACATAGCCGCCCCTACCGTTCTAAGAAAGAACTTTCCGCCCTACTGTTTCGCACCATTCGGGTCGACGCAAGACTTGGAAGTCGGGAAATTAGCCAAAGCACGGCGGATCCAAAGTCAGGGACGACGGCGAGGGCCACGACGAGGACGGCGGCGGCGGCGGCGACGGCGACGGCGACGAAAGCGAAACCGACGGCGACTGCGACAGCGACGGCGGAGAGCCGGCGAGAGCGAAACCTCAAACCTCGGGGACGGCCTCGACTGCGGCGACGACGACGATGACCATGAAGGAGGCGGGTCCTGAGGGAAACGGGTGCTGAACCTGAGGGCATTGCCCGGGGACCAATTGTGAAGGGGCCCTGGGACACACAAAAAAATACACATAAATACCACGAGTCCCCATATGACCTACAATTTTCTTGGTTTTTTGTATTCCCCCCACTTCCCATATTTTCCCATATTTTCTAGGGAATCGACGATTAATTGTGTCTGTGTGTTTTTCCCTCCTGAAATTGTTCATCCCGAGTCGTTTTCTGATGGTCACGGGGCCCGAGGGGGGGTCCCCCAGAGCCCGACCGCGGCGAGAAACCTCAGGGCCCGTTGCCCTCGGGACCCGCTCCCTTCCTGGCAGCGGCGGCGGCGACGGCGACGACCACGACGGCCACGACGAGGACGGCGGCGGCGGCGGCGGCGACGACGACGACAACAGCGACGGCGACGGCCATAGCGACGTCGACCACACGACGCCGACGCCGACGCCGACGCCGACGACAGGCGTCGACCACACGACGGCGACCACGGCGGCGGCGACGGCGACGGGCGGCGACCCCGCCTGCGCAGGGCGCCTGCCTCCGGCCGCCAGGCGCCGGGCCGCCAGCGCAAGGGGGGCGCGCGCCGCCATTCCGGAGGGGCCTGCCGCAGGGAGAACGCTTCGGCCGCGGCTGGCGCTGACGCTCCTCCTCCTCCTCCTCCTCCTCCTCCTCCTCCTCCGCCTCCGCCTCCTCGCCCTCCATCTCCTCCTCCTCCTCCTCCTCCTCCTCATCTGCTTCCCCTTCCTCCTCCTTTTCACGTTGGCCACACTACAAGCTCTTCCTCCTCCTCCTCCTCCTCCTCCTCCGCCTCCGCCTCCTCCTCCTCCTCCTCCTCCTCCTCCTCCTCCTCCCAGCCGCCGAGAGTCGGCGAGTGAACGGTGCGCAGGCAGCCTCGGGCGCCGAGGGCGGTGTGCAGCGGGGGGCCTACTGGGGAGCCCGCCGCGGGGGCCTGCCGCCGCGGGGGCCTGCCGCCGCGGGGGCACGTTTTGGTCAGCACCTGGGACGTGTCGTGTCTTGTCGTGTCCTCCACAGCCTTGTGCTTAGCCTTCGTAGCCTCGGCGACCTTGGCTCGAGCTTCGGCGATCTGTGCTTCGACCCTTGCCTTTTCGGGCCTCGGCTTCAGCTGGGTCTTTGCTGCATCTTCCTTCACCTCCTGCACCTCCGCGTCGTCCCTTGCCTTTGCTTGACGCCGACCCACTGGACTCCTCTGTCGACCCCTGGCTGCGGCTGGCCTCAGCTGGGGCCGACTCTGCCCTTGCTGGCTGTCGCGCACGGCGAGCTCGTGTCGTGACGACGTCGGCGTTGGCCTTTGGACAACGCGCGGATCGCTCAGCCTTGAACTGCCGGCGGCGTTTCGATCGCCAGGTCGCGCCGTGCTGGCCGATGCTGGGCGACTGGCGCGGGGGGCCTGCCGCGGGCACGGGGGGGGGACGGCAGCGTCATGATGGTACCGGCCGCTTATCTCGGCTTCGTGCGTGGTTTCTTCGCCAGATGATCAAGGATGCTCCTCGATGGCCCCCGCCGAGACAAAAAAATGCACGCGTCCGAGCGATGCCGAGCTCGGGGGGGGGAGCAGCGACCACCTGGAAGCAGCGACAGGTCGGCGACGGGCCCCCGACAGCGTGTCCCCACGGCCCTGTAGGCGGGAGGGGCCACTGCGCCCCCCAGCGGCGATCC